ACATGCTCTTTAAAAAAGAAGCAACTTTAAATTTATTTGAGTTACATTTTTAAATTAAATAAATTTGAGAGAGAAATTTTTACTGTAACATATCTCAAATTAAATGATTGTAGTAATTTTTTTAATTGTAAGTGTAGACATTCATGTAGCTGTCATAATTACAAATATTTTAAAACAATTTTAATTAATTAAAATTGCTTAAAATCAAAGCAAACCAGATTGATTTTTTTTTAAAATTACCCTAGAAACATTTTGGTAAACATTCAAGAGCACTGTCTATCTGAAAATGTTTAATCATGAAATTGTTTAACTTGTAGTAGATAAACACAAAGGAAAATGGGAAAATGAACTCTTCCCTTTTCTGCATCTTAAATAATGCCTAGTTATTAGATGCTTGATACTTATATGATGCTTTTCCAGAACAAATTTATTTTTGGTGGCAGAAGGTGTAGAGAATGCAAAATAGTGACACAATTTTTAGTCGGATGACTTGAACAACAAACATAACACTCCATTTTTCAGTTTAAAAACCTATCTTGTGAATGCTCAGTCAGTATATTTGGATTTTCTTGTTCAGTTCATAAAGCTCCTGTAAAAGAGAGACTAATGATGCATTTTATATGTTCAATCACTTTATTGGTTTATAGGGCTGAACGCTATGAATTTTATGAAAGGAAATTCTTTGGTTTTGTTAGGGTCTAATCAGATGTGCAATTGCTCTGGCAGACATTTATGGTGAATCGTTATCATTTTCAACCTAAAGTAGTCTGACATCATACATTGGTGATTCTCTAGGTCACCAAATATGTTTTCTCTAGGTCAAAAGCATGAAAAATTAGAAATATTTATTGAATTTGTCTCTTGGGACATTTTAAAAGGCATGCAGGGAGATGAAACTTAGGTAGCCATGTGTTTTTGGAAGTTGTCTTATTAATTCTCGAATTGTTATTTTCTCCTATTCTCTTTTGTTGGGGAACAGCAGCCCCAAGGTCACAGTGGGCCGAGGGTAGGATCAGAACGAACAGGTGGGATTAGCGGCAGGAGTCTGAGTAGTACGCGGAGTCGTGTGGTTTCAAATAAAGTAGATTTATTTTACTTACGCTTTTGGAGCGTAGGCAGAATTCTTGCTTCAGTTACAGTTACAATAAACAAACACGAACAACAAAGGAGACTGTTGGCCCACGGGGTTCCGGAGCTGAGCCCTTGCTATCTAGCCCGGAGGCTAGGGGCGGCTGCCCAGCTCAATAGTCCCAGGGCTGGTCAACAGCTTATTAACTGGAAGAACGAATAACAAAACTGTAATGTGTCGTGACTCCAGTCCAAAGTGGACAACGAGAAGGGATGGTCGAAGACGGAGCTGAGGTCAAAAGCCGAGATGAGGTGTCGATGTTGTAGCCAATGGTTGAGAATCGGGATCGTAGTCGAGGTCGAAGACAGAAATCAGGTCGGTAGCCAGAAGATCAGTACATGAAAATCGATGCGAGGTCGAAAACGAATTGCAAAACCGCACGGTGAGAAGACCGATGGACCAGGAAGCCCCGCTGAGGAGCAGTCCCTGTGGGAACAGCCTCTGCTCTCAGCTCTAATCTCTCCTAGCGAGACAGTCCCTGCCAAGGCAGCCTCTGTTCGCCAGTCGAGTGGGTCTCTCCCCTGGGTGGGGGCTCACAAGCCTTTTGTAGCAACCAAAATGGCCAATCAGGTTGCTTACTCTGAAGAATTTTCTAGTCTTATGACGTCATGCTCTTAGCCAAACTGAGCATGCGTCTGATTAGGTTGCTTCTTACTGAGCATGCTCGTAGTTGGAAACTAGGTCAAGCCTGATTGACAAGCCTTCAGGTCACCCAGGGGGCACGTGCTGGGCATGCTGTGGAATTTTCCATAGCCCTTGTCTGCGCATGTCAGATCCAACTCTCTGTATTATCAGCAGTCAATCAAAATTTTTCTCTGACATCTTTCATATTGATTCTGATATTGTGCTTATTGTTGTATCATCTTCCTAGCAGGGCATTTATTGCCCAAAGTGATATATGAAAAAGTCCTGTCTCCCACGTGTATGACTTTACAAGTTTGAAGAGACTTCCATTATGTCAGAGAAATCTAGTTGTTGACCCTGGCCTTTATTCCATAGCTTTAGATGTCCCTACAAGTATTCTAGAATCAGACAAGGGTCTCAAGATCTAGACCTTGAACTCTGTTTAGAATCCTCTGGGTAGGTGTAGTAAGATGGAGGACAGGCCTCATGCTCCTGGCAGCCTGTGGCTGATGAGATGTGCTGTGATGTTGTGTGCCGATTGACGTTTCCTTGGGTTAGGGACCAAAATTACAGATAAACCAGTTTTTAAGTGATCAGAAACTGATTTCAACCTGTAACAGAACAGAAGTTCAGTGCACATAAAGCAGTTTCAAAATGGCTGAAACTGATTTAAGATGAACCTGGTTGAATGTAGTATCAGACATAACTGATTTAGGTCAAACTGGTTTATGAAACTTTTGTCCCAGACCTCTTTCTGATTCAAGTTAAATCACAGTCCCCCAGCATCCCAGGATGCTTTGTAGCCCTGAGCTGGGGTATGCTGTCTGCTTTAGAGGGTAGGGTTGGCCTTGTCCCACTACTTTCTAGCCAGAGCAGTGAGGGCTGGATGACAAGGGGGTGGGAAACCTGCCTGGGAACCACAGCTGGATCTGCCTGGGGGACAGCCCCTGCCAGACCTTTCTCTGCTAGAGCAGAGGGGGCATGGATAGATAGATATATCTATATATAGGGACACACACACACCCCAATTCCCCATTAAGAATGACGGCGGGGGGTAGCTGAGGACAGAGGTCTGCATCCAGCCCCACCCCCACCACCTTCGGGGCCAGGCCTGCTCCCTGCCTCCCCTTCCCCCCAGCTGCTCCAGGACCAGGGCTGGGCCACTCCCCCATCCACTCTGTCACCACCTCCTGCTGGGGGTGTGGGAACAGAGGCCTGGGGCCAGGCTTGCTCCCCTCACCCCCACCGCTTCAGGGCCAGAGCCACTCCCCCACCCCCATTCAGGGGCCCAGCATCTGGCCCTGTGCCTCTGGTCCTGTCATCCAGTCTGCCCCCCCCCCCCC